CTGACTGAATGCTTTAATGACAAGTCTATGATCTACTACGGTCTACTACGAATACTACACATTATTACTTCTAACTGGATAACAAAAAGAAGGGGGGCCAAAGGAGTGAGAGGACAACCTTGGCGAAGGGAGCGAGATAGCGGAAATGGGTCAGACAGGAGTCTATTGACCATCACAGAGGTTGTGGAATGTATGTTAACGGCTACTACCCATCAGCAAAAGTTTTCGCTAAATCCCATCTTAAGCAAAGTTGTGCGAACAAAGCTCCAATTCACATTGTCGTATGCCTTTTCTAGATCCAGTAAGAGGTTAGAAAGTGCTATGTCATCGCATTCCATTATCTCTTGGGCATGAATAGTCGTCACAATATTCTCGTAAAGAAACCGGCTCTGTACAAAGGTTGCTTGGTCCTGATTGACTAATTCTAAAAGATACTTCGCTAATCTCCTGGCCAAGGTTTTTGCCAGGATCTTATACGATACTTTAAGCCTTGAGATTGGTCGTCAATTTCAAATTTTGTCCCTTGCTGAGCTTGCTCCTTTCTTATACAACAGAGTAATTGCTTTGAAGCACATTCTATCTGAGATTTTTCCCTCAGTCAAGACACTTTTGTGTATCTCAAACAGTGTTTCGTCAATATCGGGTCATAAAATTTCGAAAAACTCAGAGGGAAGGCCATTTGCGCCTAGGGCCTTACCCTTTGCCATTGCTTTTACTGCAGTCTTGACCTCTGTCTCGGTGAGAGGGCGGCCCAAATCTAGATGCTTGGAAAAATGCACACCAAACATATCTCATACTTCTCGTTCTCACCAACCAGCTGCCGTGTGGTCGGAGACAGACTCACATCCACCACTTCCCATAGATTTGTCTGGCTTTGTTGTCCCAATTCCAATTCGTTGGGACTGCGCCTTGATGTGAGTATATCGCAGAAGTAAGACCCCGCGTAGTTGCACATTTCATGAGATGCAATTGTTGTGGGAGTCATCTCCTCATACGGGTGTACTAATGACTTAGTTTCTTTATGAGCATATCGTGGTAGGAGTCTCTGAAAAGTTTTCTTACTCATCCGGTCGCCTGACACAATGCCTTTGACTGCCAGTATTTCCTTCACTGATCGTGACTAGACTTCTTTTCTTGGATCTCGTCCCAAATCTGCATTCTCTCCGCTTTGACTACTCCCCACCAATTGTTGTCAACAGATCTCAATGGTAGGCTTACAAAGTTACGATCATCTTTTCCGCCTTTTACACCTTCGTTTTAGCTTTGTTCTTATCCTTGTTGTCCTGCAATGCTAGAATCTTAGAAAACACACTGAGCATATCGGAGATAAAGTCAAGGCAGACATCCCACCACCCACTCAAGTTGGGGAGGAGATGTTTTTTCTTCCTACATTTCTCAAGTTGGTTGTGTATCCAGTCTCTTACTCCAGTTTCTTTTAGTGTATCTACGTTTAGTTTGAAAATTCTCTTTCCTCTCACTGGGCCGTCTCCCCGCAGAAGCTGCAATACCACCGGATTCCGGTCTGAAAATTTCCTTCCATGATCCATCTCACTTGGCCTTCTCCCCGCAGAAGCTGCAATGTCCACCGTTTCGCTCCATATGGCCTTGCTTATCAGAATATAGTATAGTCTCCGTAAGCTCACCGAGCCTCACCCTCCTGCCTGCTTGCAGTTGGGAGGAGAACCACGTATAGCCAAGATTCATTGTGTTCGTCAGTCTATACGGGTTCGTCAACTCCAGATTTGTCATTATTTCTTATAAGGCATCCAATTTTTTGTCATCTTTTCCGGAAGCGAAGACGGGGTTGCATCATCGATCGCCACATTCCAATTACCTGAAACGACAACGTTGTCGACGTCCGGTAAATTATCCATTAAAAATTCAAAAAATTCCTTACGGTTGGGGCGTAGATCAAGATCACTGCCCATTCGTTACCTATTGAGCGGACTTTAACCCAAGCCCAACACCCTTGCTGGTTAAAGTCGTAATCTAAGATTTTGACGTCTAGATTACGATGGAGCAAGATGATAACTCCTCTTGATTCAACGGCCAGCACCCACACCTGAGGTCCATCCCACCATGCCCCCGAAGTTGTTATGTTTTCTTGATCCAGGTTCGTCTCTTGCATGCATAAAATTGAAATCCGATTCTCGTGTAGCCATGTTTTAATCCTTGCCCTCTTGCTGCGACCACCTGTATCACCAAGACCGTGAACGTTCCAAGTCGCGATTCTAACTTGGAGCATGGTTGTTGTCGGAGCCCGACCAAGATTGGATGCGGAGAGACGGGATTGTGGATCCTCATGACGACAGTTTGACTGAACTCCGGTATCCCACCGTTGCGTCGGGAAGGATAAGAAAGGGGGTGTGAGAAAAGATCTTGCCTTGGGGATTTTCTGAGATAACGCTCCCAGACATGATGAATCCCAGTCTCTGAGTAGTGAGATTTTGGACAATTCCGGGTGGTTCAAGTAGGAGAACCATTCCATGGGGAATAAACACAGGCCCTGATTGACCAATCTACGTAAAATGTCCTATGCTATTCTAGCATCCAGAATAGGAGTAAACAATTTGGCTTTAACTCCAGGACGTTCCACAAAGAAACGAGGAGTGGGGATATCAGGCACATTTCTGACTGCTATCTCACTATCGTACAACCTACGTGTGATATTAAGGATTTCCACCGGCATAGGCGGGGAGGCAATTGGTTGGGAGGGAAGGAAAGTTACCGCTTGACCCGTCGACCAAGCGAATATGAATGTACCTTCCACTGCCGCTATAAATAGCAAGGGAAGCAGATATTTCTCCCAGTCCCATTCTGAGCGTTCTCCCCTTTTCGAAGTGGCCTGACGGCGGTTACGTTTCATGCAACCTTGATCCTGCTTGTTTGGGTCTTGTCTTGAGATTGACGAAGATGAGTATTCTCCTTCGACCTCCTCCACTATCCAAAACGCTCTCATGTCTTCACTTAGCCTCCTTCTTTGTTTTGTTGGCTTCGTTTCCTCCCGGTGTGTATCCTTCGAGACGGCTGGAGCCTGTGTCCTCGAGCTACTGTCCTTCGTGTCTCCTTGATCAACTACCCGAAGTCAAGTTAGAAACATCTTTCCTTGCAGCTTTACAGGTCCCGATTGTTTCACAGCAAAAATATTTGCTGGCGGGGCCACACTTTTGTTGCAAAATTCGCCCATAGACCGTCATGACGCGAGGAAGTTTGGCACGTGGGACTTGACTCCGGGTTATTGGACATGGGACGCTGGGATTTCCTAGTCAACACGAACCTGGGTGATGGCCCCAGTATTCTTACTTTAAGTTCCTTATGCTAAGAGATTTCAAATTTACCAAAAAAAGAAGGGATAATCTGCAAAATACCCCCATAAGTTGAGATATGTGGCAGAATGCCCCTGAAAGATGTGGGTACAGAGAAATGCCCCTCTGACAAAAAGATAAATTTGTGAAATACCGATTGCGTCCGTTGGTCCGCATCTTTGTGATATACCCCTACCAGGTACCATCCAACTTGGTAAAATACCCAAAACTTGGCAACTTTCCTAAGGCCCAGCTGCAAAAGACCATGCCCAAACGGACAGGTCCAGATTGCATATTTGCACACCCGCCTGACAGGGGCATAACACAAAGATTTCGTCCCAAAAGGGCATTCCGCTCTACCCACATCTTTCAGGGGCATTTTGGCATATATCTCAACTTATGGGGGTAATTTGCAAATTATCCCCCCCTCCCAAAAAAAAGAGGAAAAAAGAAAAAAAAAAAAGGAGAAAAAAAAACAAAAAAAAANAATAAGAAAAAGAAAGAGAGAGAGAAATATTGTCATTTTTTTAATTCTGCATGCATTAGGGCTATATTCAGAAAATCTTCTCGTGTTGATTAGGTGGAGGTGGAGGAGGAGGATGCCGGGGAGGAGGGGGAGGATGTCGAGGAGGAGGAGGAAGATTAGGAGGGGTAATTTGCAAATTATCCGCCCCTCCCAAAAAAAAAAGGAAAAAAAAAAAAAAAAAAAGGAGAAAAAAAAACAAAAAAAAAAACAAAAAAAAAAACAGAACAAAGTTGCGGAGAAAAAAAGAAAAGTTTTAATGGAGGCAAATAATTGACCAACAATGAAAGATTTCCCAGGAAAATGCTCAAAAAATATGAATTTTGAAGTCAAGGAATCAGAGCAACAGTTTGACCTGTAAATGCGTCCGTCTAGCATCGCAGAAGATCCAGAATCTCCCCGAGAGGACATTATTATCATTATTGTGTAAAGAAAAATCAGTCCAGCATTAATTTAACCGGCCACGGCACCGATACCCGAGAGCGAAACCATGGAAAGTAACAGGCTGAAAATAAATGCAAATTAAAGAGGGGTTAAAAAAAAAAAAAAAAACAGGAACGAAAGGGGAAGAAAGAAAAACACCACAGGTGAAAGTGCATAAAGAACCGATGAATAGCCTACGAGGGAAGTCGGTAGAAATTTGAAAGCGCAAAAAAATATTAAAAGACTTGATAAAAAAGGCGGAAGAGGACTGAATGGACGGAAAGCGGGTGATCTCTCTGTCTGTGACTCTTTGCGGCTGTGCCGACCACAGCCGACACACTGACAGAAGAGTTTGTTTGTGAGAGATGCAGCGATCCCCTTGTTGAGGCTTGTTCTTCTTCTTACTTGTTAACTTCTTCTCCCTGCGGCTGTGAGTTAATCGGGGGGCAGCAAGTTAGCAACGCCCACGACTTCAGCGCAGAATGGGGGATCGGCGATCAATGGCGGAGACACGGACGTGTCCTTTCCGTCAGTATAATGTAGTTAAGGCAAGTGGTCGAAGGGCCGTTAGACTAACTTAGACAAGCGGAGTTAAGGATCATCAGACGAAGTCCGAAAGACCCAAGACACCAGACTCGCGGGGACAGATACTACTGAGAAAAGAGAAGAGAAAGCGAAGCAGCCCCCCAGCCCCCCAGCGGACGCGCACCGACCATGCGTGCAGAGGAAAGCCAAGAACCTAGCACACGTAGACCGGCTTTGCTTTACTCATCGACGAAAAAAGAGTCTGACAGACTGACACGCAACTCCTCCCCTCAGACCCCTTTCTTACCAATAGATCTCCCTCCCCGGGCCTCTGGCATTCGTTCGCAGCTTCAAAAACGAGATGGTCATTGGTCACTACTGCGATTCGATGAATTTGGATCTCCCGCCAACTCTCGATAACCTGATCATGCCACAGACCACAAGTCCTGCAGCCATGATCTTCGCTTCCTTCAGCTTAAAGACTTAAACTTATGGGAGAGAGGATGGGACGACTGAAGTCTGAAGGCCAAGAGGAGATCTTTCGTAGCACACAGGGGTCGGACCGACACCGACACCGACTCGGACGACGGACACGCTATCTTCCGAAGTAAGGGCAGTGGCAACAGCAGTCAGCAGGTAAAGCATTCTCTGTGCAGGAATGGACTATGTTTTTTGCGTATTGCTCCTGCTGCTTGCAGTCCGCCCTGCTTGTCTCTCGATGAGATACGGTGTGGTTGCTGTCTTCTCTGCTCTCTCAATCCTTCAGTTGTATAGCCAGTGCCAGCCCTAATGGTTAAAGACTATATACATATCTTAGCACGGAAAAAAAATATATAATCCAAGGTCCAATTGAATTTCGGTTAACGTATTTCGTAGCACTTATAAAGATCTCTCCCTCTCTCCCGTTATGAAATTGCTAATGTCTAATTGAATTCCGTCAAACTTATTTATGTCCCTAGCTCTCTCTCTCTCTCTCTCTCTCTCTCTCTCTCTCTCTCTCTCTCTCTCTCTCTCTCTCTCTGTGTTTGTGTGTGTGTGTGTGTGTGTGTGTGTGTGTGTGTGTGTGTGTGCCCTTGTCACCGGAAGTAAACCCGTGCGCATCGCACATCATACTGTTGCTTCGGTGTCTTGTTTGGCCGGGGACGTCCCCTGTACATCTGGCACCAGGAGTGTCGGTCCTCCCTTTCCCTCGTCGGACTTGCCATGGGCGGTGCGGTCAAGTCCGGCGGCCTCCTCATCCGGGGAGATGCGCAGTAAGTCGAAAATCTGAAGCACGTAGAACAGGATGCCCATCATAACCGCTGTCCACACGGCGATACAGATGGCACCGATGAGCTGAGCCGCCAGCAACTTCCCGCCCCCTCCGTAGAAGAGCCCGTACGGAGTGCCTTCGACCTTCGGAAATGCCTCCATGAGGAAGCTCTTCTTGGCAAGCAGTCCGACGTACAGCACACCGAGCAAGCCGCAACCACCGTGGAGCTGGAATGCCTCCAACGGGTCGTCATACTTTATCTTCTCCGCCAGCCTGTTCATGCCAATCAACGTCCAGGCGGCGAGGAAGCCGAGGAGGATGGCAGCCCAGGGCTCGATGACTGAGCACCCCGCGGTCACGGCCGCGAATCCGCCCAGCAGGCCGTTGCACACGTCCGTCACGTTCCAGTGACCGGCCATCCACCGCCTGGCGAAGAGCGTAGTCAATGCGGCGGCGCCACCGCATAGAGTGGTTGTCACAGCGGTTCTCGCAACGACGGCTTGGTTCAAAGCTTTGCCAACCGGAACGATAACGGTGAGCGAGCCGGGGTTGAACCCGTACCAGCCAAACCAGAGCAGGAAGGTTCCCAGGATGACAAGAGTGCCGCTGTGACCCTTCATCTCCTGCGTGCCGCCCGTGCGATCGAATCGCCCTATACGAGGGCCCTCGATCCAGGCGCCCATGAAGCCGGCGATGCCGCCCGTCATGTGCACCACGCCGCTGCCCGCGAAGTCGACCATGCCGACGTCCAGGAACATGTTGCCCGTGTTGAAGGCGCTGATCCACCCGCTGGGTGACCACACCCAGTGGGACACCACCGGGTACACGAAGCCCGTCAGGAACGTGGAATACGCCAGATAAGCCGTAAACTGCGTCCTCTCTGCGATGGACCCGCTCGTGATCCCCGCAGCGGCCGCAGCGAAGGCCCACTGGAACATCCACATCTCATATCGTGCAAAGGGCTCGTCCGCATGGAACCTCGATTGCGCGAAATTGTCATTGCCAATGAAGCCGTTCGAGTCCGCTCCGCCTCCGAACGCGAACGCGAACCCGAAAAGGAAGTAGGAAATGGCACCGGCAGCGGCGTCCATAACATTCGTCAGCATGATGTTCAAGGCGTTCTTGGCCCGCACGGACCCGGCGCAGAGCATGCCAAATCCTGCCTGCATAATGAAGACCAGGTAGGCCGAGAAGAGCAAGAACATCGTGTTCGTGCCAGTCACGGCATCGCTGATACCAGACATGGCATCGCTGATACGACCGTCATAGCCGCAAACGAGTTCGGTGAGCACCGCCGATTGATTCACGTCCAATTTGGTAGCACTGGCAACCGCGGCCAGAGCCGTCAGTAGGGTGCTGTTGCACTCCATCACGACCGCTGCACCTCACCTGCCCGCAGGAAAAAAAACAAGGATGGGGGGTTCAGTCTCAAATTGCTCACCAGGTCGCAAGAACAAACAAACAAAAATTAATTCACTCAGGTTGCACTGTAAAACGTAGGCAGAGAGGGAGAAGAGGACATTGGACAACGAACGAGGGACCGTCACATATGGTTTCGTTAGAGTTTCACAATCAGGAGGCCGAACCCTCAAAAACAGTCTGCAGAATCCCCTAACTGACTGATCACACTGTAAGTGATAATCCACCTTAACCCCGGTTGTGGTTAAGCATCAACGACTGCCGGACAACTGATACCCATCTGAGGTGGTGGGGACCACCAACCACTGCCCTCGAGGTACCTGTGACGAACATCAAAGCACACTATCACTTACACACACGAGATGGAAAACTCTACAGACTGCTGTTCACGCACCCCATCCCAAGCCAGCAAAACACCCTCAAACAAAGAAAGGTCTGTCACAGCCAAAGAAATACACTCCAGACATATACACACACACACACACACACACACACACACACACACACACACACACACACACACACACACAGAACTGCCCGGTAGACCATTGTCAGAGAGGGAGAAGAGGACAACAAACGAGGGGCAATGACAGACTATTTCGTTGGAGTTTGGTCTACCCACCAGCCTGAGGAGGCTGGACCCTCAGTCTGCAGCGGAGTTCCCTAACTGGAAATAGTACGATACCAACCCCCGTTGCGTTTAAAGCATGGACAACCGCCCCACAAGTGATACCCTGAGTTACGTGGGCACCAACCACTGAACTGAAGGTACTTGGGACGAAAATCAAGGCAGGCTATCACTCCCCCACACCAGACGGAAAGCTCCACAAACTGCACAGTTACTGCAGGTTTATATTTCTCTGATCGACACCCCAGAAGACGGTAGAAGAGCTCTTCACACGTTCATTCCGACCAAGCATTGAGCTTTTTCAAGTCTACAGTACGTACATTGCCATTGCATGAGAAGACGGATTCCATGTTCCATGCCTAACACCCCCTCCACCAAAGCAACTTGAAGAAAAGGCAAAGAACAGAAAATCGAACAACTTGGAGCCCCCGATGTGTTTAGGGAAAAGTCATAAAACCTCCCCGTGACGAAACCTTTGTATCCATTCCTCCACCCCCCCAAACGGGGAAAAAGGTACCTCAGGCCGCAAAATCACTTTGGGCGTCATTTTCGCATGCAAAACACTTTCCCTCCATTTTTACACAGCGGCCAGGTCCCACTTGCGCAAATTAGGAGATTTCGGCCGTTGATCTTTGCTATCTACGGTCAGTATCTCATAATTCGTGCATGTGGGACCTAGCCCCCGGCTGCAAAAATGACACCAAAAGTGATTTAGGGACCTGCGGCAGTTTTTTCCCCGTTTTGGGGGAAATGGATACAACGGTCTCGTCGCGGGGGGGGAGGTTTTATGACTTTTCCCATATATTGATAGCATATTAACCTTCTTTCGAAACACGTCTCGGCTCGACACCCAGGAACTACGCACCAACTTGAAGAGATCATCCCTCATTTCTCTCGACAAAGAATTGAGCTTTTTCAAGCATACAGAAACGTCGTACATTGCATTAAAAGCCAGATTCCATGCCAGATTTTTCATTTTTTGTGAAGCATACAGTACGTAAATTGCATTAGTAAAACCCGGACTCCATGCTAAACTCTTTTAAAACACGAGGAACATAAGTAATATCTCCAGAGACGAATAAGTACATGATGATGAAGTCAGATGAACGACTCTCGACTCTCGAGGGCAAAGCCAACCACGAGTGAAAATAAACGCAAGCCATGACCAATCGAGACGGTGGAGGGCCTGGACGCTACGATGTGCCAACCACGAGTGAAAATAAACGCAAGCCCTGATCAATCGAGACGGTGGAGGGCCTGGAGGCTACGATGTAGTAGAAAGAGTCAGAGGCGTAAGCCCATCACACAAAAGTGATCAGGCTTACAGCTGTTCTTGTCAGGAGTATGGACCTACAGTCTGCTAGGATTACAGGAAGGAGGAGGGGGGGGGGTTGTTGTTCACCGTCGGTGTGAGTCGACCACTTTTCTCTCTCAGGGGTATATCCCTATCTCTGGCCCTCTGGGCCAGATGGGGGGTCAGTAGACGCAGTAGCTTATCCCATCAGTCAAATGCATCCTGGGCACTGGGCAGACCGTCGGGCGGGCCTTCGACCTCCTTATGAGTGGATGACTCGAGTCCGACGAAAACGGCCTCAGGCCGGCACAGTCGCTATGTATCCATTCTTTGTGGAGTCTAGCATGGCGACCATAACAACACACACACGGTCAATTTGACTGCGACGCAATTATATGGACTACGTACGTTGTGCAGCAGCCATTAGTTTTCACCTTTTCCTCGGACCGACAACGTCGAAGTTCGACAAGTGAACGGAGCTTGGTGTTCTCCAAGAGTCCAAACAGAGACACTAAGGGTAGTTCTCTTCCAGGCACGACTAAAGAAAAGGTGTGAAGGTAAAGTTACTGCGAACTACGACCAAATAACTGCGCAGATGTCGATTAACGACCAGAGGGGAAAAGGAACGACAAAAACCGAACGAAAGAACGAACCAAATGAATGGCTAACGAAAGAACGAAACAAATGAATGACGAACGAAAGAACGAAACAAATGACGAACGAAAGAACGAACGAACAACAGACGGACATGAAATGATGCATGAAATGATGCGATCGTTCTTCGTCGCGAAGGCAGCGTCCAATAAGCAAGACTCACCACAGCTCACGCAGCCAAATGTAAGTTCCTGAAAGGCTGAAACTCCAACCCCCCCGCCTTCCCCCCCTCTCCCGGCCCGATCCTACTCTTCCCCTTTCCTAATTCAGAATCTCCACACGCCCTACCCTCCTCTCCTCTTCGGTGCGAATCCTAACGACGAAGTAACAGCGAACAGAAAACACAGGATCACTCGCACCCAAAACAAACACGGGTCCGCCTGTTCGTACACAGAACGAGTACGAGCCAACACGGACCGCCCACCAAGTGCAGAAGAACTCTCCCTCCCTTCCCCATCTTCCTATCTGTTGCTGGGGCCCGAGTCACATGACTGACCACGGCTGGCCAGTCAACGGGATCCCGACCTGTTTTGAAGATCAATTAATAGACGAGGGTCATGGCACCGATGATATATATATAGGGTTAATATCAAAACTATTGCTGTTTCGGAAGTTTGGCAGCAAAAATGTCGTCCGTTCGAAGTTTCCTTTGCAAAAATAGAGGTTTCGTTGCAGCTTTATCGGCTTCCCGTAGTTTGCCAGCAAAAATACCGCGTTTTGCCCAGTTTCACAGCGAAGGACACGTAGGCCCCTGGCCTCAGGGACTCAGGGACTCAGCGTTCTGGCCTGAGGCACTCAGCGTTTTTTTTTTTCTTTTTCCCGGGGCATGGCTGATGCATCCGGGCATGCCCACGGCCGCAGGAAAAAAA